ACCTATGTTTTCTTCTAGGAGTTTTATAATCTCAGGTCTTAGGTTCAAGCCTTTAATCCATTTTAAGTTAATTTCTGGGTATGGTGTAAGGTAGTGGTCTAGTTTCCCCAACACCATTTATTAAAGAGACTATCCTTTCCCTATTGTATATTCTTGGCTCCTTTGTTGTAAGGGAACCATATATCTGTGGGTTTATTCCTGGGCTCTCTATTCTGTCCATTGATCTATGTGTCTGCTTTTATGCCAATATTATACAGTTTTGATTACCACAGCTTTGTAATATAGCTTGAAATCAGAAAGTGTGATGACTCCGGCTCTGTTCTTCCTCAGGATTTGTTTGGCTATTCAGTGTCTTTCGTGGTTCCATACAAATTTAGGATTGTTTGTTCTTTTTCTGGGAAAAAGTGCCATTGGGATTTTGACAGGGATTGCATTGAATCTCTAGATTGCTGTGGGTAGTGTGGACATTTTAACCATATTAATTCTTCCAATCCATGAGCATGGAATGTGTTTTCATTTATGTGTCTTCTGCAGTTTCTTTCATCAGTTATAGTTTTCAGTGGACAGGTCTTTCACCTCTTTGGTGACATTTATTCCTAGGTATTTTATTCTTTATGATGCAATTGTAAATGGGACTGTTTTCGTACTTTCTCTTTCTGATAATCTGTTATTAGTGTTTAGTTCCATTCAGGGACCTTGCTGAGGACTGTAGCTTGGGAGACTGCCTCTCAGAAGCTTCGAGGGAATTTTTCTGAAGAGGGAGGGGAAGAGATGTTTTCTAAACAATTTTTGGCTACAGGGAATGCATGCAGCAAGCACACATCTTAGTGAAAGTCACGAAGAACAGATATTTCGAGCTAATGATTTTAGTGCTTTTCTCTGTGTGGGAGGATGCAGGAATCTGGGGTCGTTACAATTCTTCCTGAGGTATGTGTGTATCTAGGGGGCCAGTTTTCCAAAGCACAGAGTGCCCACCCCGCTTTCCCCCTGAGCCCCTCTCAGGGTGCACGGTGGTGGGTCGGCCAGGGGTGCAGTGTCTGACGATTTAACCCTTGTAGACCTGGTGGGGAGCAAGCTCCCTGTTCTTTATTTGCACCTTCTTCCTGCAGCCCGCGGTCCCTAGGCTCCAGCACTGGTCTGCAGACAGGCTCCCAGCTGCTCTTCCTAAAACTCCAAAGTGCTCACCTCCAACTTGGATTAAACTCTGCCTGGCCTTCCAGGTGGCAGATCAAAGGGCCGCGTTGGTGTCAGCACATCTCTTGCAGGAAACCATGCAGACTCCCTTCTGGCCACCCCAGGCCAGAAGACGCAGAGTGCTGGCTCCCTGGCAGCTTGTACTCACCTACCTGGCCTCACCGGGGGTCTGAGCTCCAGGTCAGGACCTATGGCATCTAGCTTTCATTTTCTTCCCCTTAAACATATAAGGAGAGTTCTACGTGTGCTCTTTATTCAAACTTCCCCATAAGTTTGTATTCTACGTCTGTGAGTCTGTTTCTCTTTTGTAACTAAGTTTGTGTCCTTTTTTAGATTCCACAGGTAAGTGTGTCAACTGAAAAAATACGCACAACCTAAAAGTTGAGGGTTATGTTTTATTGGGCGGAAATGTTTAGGACTTAAGCCCGGGAGGCAGCATCTCAAGTAACCCTGGGAGAACTGCAAGGCAAGGAGAGACCAGACGTGGGCAACCGCGAGGGACTGACAGCAGTTAAAACGTGAAGCTGAGATGGACGGGATCCTGCAGCTCAGCCCCTTACCTGTTGGACAGGACGATCTCACATGTACGCGCACATATGCACACACACGGGCACACGCACGCACACACCGGCCCAGGTCTGTGCCTGCCTCATCCGGGTGGCAAGGCGCTCACGCTCGGGTAGGTCAATGCACGTTCTGTCTGTGTCTCTGTCATCTCTATTTTGCTGAATCCTCTCCCTCTTTGGGTCTCTTTAGTTGCAGTCACACAGCTGGTGGGCCCAGTGCTTCCAGTTTGACTCTGCCTCTCTGGCCCCAGCCCTTTATTTCCTGAAGTATCTTCCAGTGTAAGGTGAGGTGGGAGTTCCCAGGGCCCTCAGGCCAGCCTTCCCGTTGCTGCAACACCCTCTCCCCAACCCCGCACAGGCCCCGCTCACCCCGAGCAGCCAGGGGCTCCAGAGAGGCTTAGTGCCCCGAGGGCACCGAGGAACTGACCGATTACTGGCGGGCGCAGCCGTGCCAACAGTGCTGCCATTGTGCTCTCTTGGTCGACATTTACACACACTTTTGTAAAACTTAAAACAATTTGCACTGGTTTGGGCTGCTGTTATATATTTCGAGAGTGGCCTTTACACTTTATTTTTCTAATGTGAGACACTCCCTCTCAAACTATTTTAGGAGGAAGCTTAAAATAAAACATTGAACAGCGGAGATGCTCTGGTTGAAACAGTTGTGCCCCAGCCCCCAGCCATACCCGTCCAGCTCTGCTCTCCTCCCATGCTGCCCCCAGAGATGCAGAAGGCCCTCCCCAGGCTTAAAGGAGCAGTTCCAAAACTGCAGTGCCAAGCGCCTTGCTGTCCACTGGGAAACTAGAAGAAAGATCAGATGACGATCCATCAGCTTATGAAAACGAATCTATAACAGTACGGCAGTTCCTCAAAAAATTAAACACAGAAGTACCATGTGAGCCACAATTCCACTTCTGGGTATGTTCCCAGAAGAATTAAAAGCAGGGTCTTAAAGAGATATCTGGGGCTTCCCTGGTGATGCAGTGGTTGAGAATCCGCCTGCCGATGCAGGGGACGTGGGTTTCTGCCCCGGTCCGGGAAGATCCCACATGCCGCAGAGTGGCTGGGCCCGTGAGCCATGGCCGCTGAGCCTGCGCGTCCGGAGCCTGTGCTCTGCAATGAGAGGGGCCACAACAGTGAGAGGCCCGCATACCACAAAAAAAAAAAAGAAAAAAAAGTAAAAGCGATATCTGTGTACCCGTGTTCATAGCAGCATTAGTTGCAAGAGCCAAGAGGTGGAAGCAACCCATGCGTCCTTCAAACGATGAATGGGTAAACAAAACGTAGTCTACACATACAATGGAAACTCATTCAGCCTTAAGAAAAGGACGGTAAATCTGACACCGGCTGTAACGTGGATGAACCTTGAGGACATGATGCTCAGTGAACTAAGCCGGTCACAAAGGACAAACACTGTGTGATTCCACCTATGTTAGTATGTAGAGTAGTCAAATCCAGAGACAGAAAGTCGAGGCTGGTTTCCAGGGGCTGGGGAAAGGGAAATGGGGTGTAAGTTTTTTTTTTTTTTTAATAAATTTATTTATTTATTTTTGGCTGCGTTGGGTCTTTGTTGCTGCGCGCAGGCTTTCTCTAGTTGCGGCGAGCGGGGGCTACTCTTCGTTGCGGTGCGCGGGCTTCTCATTGCGGTGGCTTCTCTTGCTGCGGAGCACGGGCTCTAGGCGCGTGGACTTCAGTAGTTGTGGCACGTGGGCTCAGTAGTTGTGGCATGTGGGCTCTAGAGCATAGGCTCAGTAGTTGTGGCATGTGGGCTTAGCTGCTCCGCGGCATGTGGGATCTTCCCGGACCGGGGCACGAACCCGTGTCCCCTGCATTGGCAGGCGGACTTTCAACCACTGCGCCACCAGAGAAGTCCCGGGAGTTAGTTTTTAATGAGGACAGATTTTAAGTTTTGCAGGATGGAAAGACTTCTGGAGAGGTTGGAGGTGATGGTTGCACAACACTGGGAATGTACTTAATGCTACAGTGTCTCAAACTGTGTACTTTCAATGGTTAAGGTGATAACTTTTGTTATGTGTATTTTACCACAATCTAAAAAAATAAAAAATAAATGAATCTGTGTGTGATGATCCTTGTCTCTGGGTGAAGTTTCCAGTAACTTTTTTTGCTTATCTTCTAAATTCCCAAGCGGGAACATGTATTTCTTACCTGGTTTTAAAACTATGAGCTAAAAATATGTCTCTGCATATAAAAAAGGATAAAATAATAGAGAAAAACAGCTTGTAGGTTTATGGGATTATGGATGATTTGTCTCTTCATTTCCCAAAATGCCCTCAAAAGCAAGGTGACTCACGGAAACAGGAGGGCATTGATGAAATTCAATATTTTATCGAGCTGTAGCCCAGTCAAAAAAACACCTTACTCTTATTAAGTAAGATTAATGGAAATAAACATTAGTGTTGGACTTACGGTAATTTGCTAAGCTTATAATAAGCAAGAGTAAACTGTAATAACTTTTGAGTTAGTAACAAAGCTTCTTTCGGGGCACCTTCTCCCCTTTTCCTATTCTCCAGGGTACATACAGATGGGTCCTTTGCTTCTTACCTGGGCGCATGCATCAGAGCTGCCAGGGGAGTGCTGGCGGCCGGACCCTGATCAGCACCTCTAGAGGAAGCGCCCTCCCCAGGGTTGCAGATTCGAGCTTGGCTTTTGTCATCCCTGCCAGGCGCCCCCGGAGGCCACACAGCCGTTTCAGCCCCTCGAGCAAAAAACGTATGTCTCTACGGGGTCCCCCAGATTCAAAGTAAGGTTTATCTTTTCCTTGTAGCCCCATTTTACGTTGGACTGGCTCAAACCTACCTTCCAGGTTTGGTGAAATCTGCCCAGCTGATGACATGGGGATCAAAATGTAGTTTTTATTTGCGGAGAGTGATATTCTTTATTTGTAGAACACTGTTGATGATGATAACCCAGACACCAAAGTGAAGGCGAGCCAGCCACTCGCGGGTTTTATGTCATGGTTTGGGCTCTGGAATCACATGGCAGGTTCATTACTGACATCTCCCCGTAGCTAAAGCAGGGTCACCCCTGCACCGCCCCCAGTGTGTGCTTATAGGGGTCCAAGAGATGAGCATGTACGGTGCCGGCACAGAGGAGTGCTGTAAAGGGAAGGGGGTCTCCAGTCCACAGGTGTCCTGTTGCCCAGGGTCACCAGTCATGAGCCCAGGCAGCTAGGATTGGCTGCTTGTGAATGAACAGGTATATTAGTTTCCTGTAACAAATTACTGCAAACTTCCTGGCTGAAAACCACCGAAGTGTATTATCTTACAATCCTGGAGCTCAGACAGTCAGAGCAGCCTCCTTCTGGGGGCTCCAGGGGACGAGAACCCGTTTCCTTGCCTTTTCTGGCTTTTAGAGGCTGCCTGATATACTCACGTCACTCTGACCTTTCCTTCTGTCCTCACTTCTTCTCTGCCTCTGACACTCCCGCTTCTCTCTCATGAGGACTCCGTGACTGTATCAAGCCCCCCAGACAGTGCAGGACCATCTCCCGCTCTCCAGATCCTTGACCACATCCGCAAAGCCCCTCTTGCCACGTAAGGTGACCCAGTCACAGGTTTAGGGGGTCAGGATGGGGACATCTTTGAGGGGCCCTTATTCTGCTGGCCACGCCCCGCGTCCACTGGCAGGGGTACTGATGGCCAGGCGACCACAGCAGAGCATGGCTCCAGACCTTTCCTGCTGGTCCTCAGGGTCACTGACGTGCCTGTGTGGCAGGCGAGTGCCGTCAGTTTCTGAAGAATGCTGGGTAGAGAGGACAACTCAGGAAACCTGTTTTCCCTGCCCCTGAGTCTCTCCTCCGCCCTGGCCGTGGTCTTCCTGGGAACAAACGGAGACAAGTCTGCCCAGATGGCCCAGAGGTGTGTACCCATCACACAGGAAGAACCAGGTATGTTTTCTCCTGTGATTCCATAGGGCTGATCTTTTCACACTTTCACACCAGCTCATGAAAGCCAGTGGGGCCTGCAGGTGGCAGGAGGGGCACCGTGGTGATGAAGAAAGGGCAGCCTTGGGTGGAAAACTGAGCTGTGGAGGACAGGGCATTTCCCAGTGTCACGGGAGAAATCAAGTCACAAGTTACTTTCTCTGGACCAGAACCTCAATGTATTATATAGCAAAATTACATCTCTGATAAGGAAGGTAAGAGTACAATTCTGTTTCACAAAAAGGCCAAGGATTTCAACCTTGTTTTATTTTAAACTTTGGCTAAAAGTGTGCTTAAAACTGAAATGCAGCTGTCCAAGTGAACTTTTTGAAAACTGGGTCATTTTTTGTGTGTGATTGTGCAATAGTGAAAGAAGAACACAACACAAACGGGACCTTACGTCTTCTGGAATTATTTAGGGGGAATACATCTCATTGCTCTGAAGGGTTATGTGACCTTATGGACAAAGGAAGTAGTGGATCCTACTTTAGGGAAGTGGTCCTTAGCGTCTTCCTGTTTCAGGTTTCTTTGACGATCTGGTGAAAGTGTCCTGGAACATTGCCATCTGTACAACGTTAATATAATTAATATATGATCGATATGATATATATAATTAATATGGAATATAATTAATAATAACAATAATATGGGGGGGTGCACTCTCCCCTGAATTGCATCCGTGGATCCCAGTCGGGCTTCCTTCCAGCTCGCTGGAGCACATAGTCTCTGGGCTGGTGTGGGATCAGGGAGGGTGGGATCCAGGAACAACGTAAATTCTCGCTCTGACTTGACACGTACTCACAGTCGGGTCTGGAGAACTTCTGTAAAATTGCTGGTGAAACATTTTCATTTTTATTCATGCTCTCTCCTGTACTCCCTGGGCCGTGGTAGATTCAATCCCAAAGGCTTGTTTTCTCTCTCTCTCTCTCTCTGTCTCCTGCTATCAAGCTCTCCTGGCCTGAATAAGTCTGCTACACTGGGTCTCAGCTGGGGGCCACTCTCCCCCCTTGAAGGCAAGTGGCAATCTCCGGAGTCATTTTTGGTTGTCATAATTCAGGGAAGTGCAACTGGTATCTAGTGGGCGGATGCTAACCGGCCTGGTCTTGCAGAGGCAGCAGCGAGTGGCGGCATGAAGCGAGACCTTGATTCCCTGCCCAGGAATTGAACCTGGGGAGCCTGGATGGAAACCAGGAATCCCAGCCACCAGACCCCCTGGCTCTTGCCCAAGTGAAAAAGGCATTTCTCACGGAGGCAAAAACTGCAAAAACAGGTACAGAGTTTATTATTAAAGACATAGCACAACAACAGGTGGGAGAGCACACAGAGAAACAGTTTGTTTAGTTAAGACAGAAGCAGGGCAGAGATGCACACAGGGAGAGGAAGGGTGTGGGCGTCCCCCCTAGCGACGAGGACCCCAGTAAAGAGGCGGTGAAGTCATTCATATAGGGCGGTCCTTCTGGGTCTCTGTTCACCTTTGGCCAATTACCTGGTTTCTTTTTCCACACCTGCCCTGCCCTGGGACCCTCCCCAGCATGTGTGCCCAACTTTTTTCCAAGATGGGATTTCAGCCCAGAGGCCTATGGGACGGCCTTAGCATCACCTATTCTGGGGTGGTGCCCCCTCCTTTTTGACCCCCAAGGAGCCTTTCTGCGCATGTGCAGTGTCTCCCTTGCCCCAAGGATGGGAATTATGTGACCTGTTGATCTATTACTCAAACAAGGGTTAGCCCCTCTCTGCTCCTGCCACGACTGCTATCTTCAGGCGTCCACAGGAGACAGAGCCTGGCTACTTACCCTGTTTCTGTTGTTACTTCCATTTTGGAGAGCAAACAGGAGGCTGATTGTAAATGTCTAAGCTGGAGCCCATCTATCTCCTGTCTCAGGAAATGCAAACAGATGGCTAGTTGTGTCTGGCCTGAAGCCCACTTTTTCCTGCCCCATGAAATGTAAACGGGAGGCCAGTGGTAAATGCCTAGCTTGGGGCCCATCTGTCTCCTTCCTCTGTCCTACAGTGCACAGGGCAGCCCCTTCAAGGAAGGGTCATCTGACCCCAAATATCAATAGTGCTGCTGTTGAGAAAGGCTGAGCTGGACAATTAAATCAACCCCCTTTTCACGTAGGAACCCACCAAGTCTTCAGCACGGAGATCTGTTTGGAGGTTGCTCTTTGGGGGATTAGCGGGCGATGCTCAAAGCCGGTGGTGGTATTTTCTGTTAACAAAGGTGGAGACGGTCACCAAGGTCCCCATCATTTCTCAATGAAGTTAACAAACGCAACACGCAGCGTTTTCTTAGAACTGCTGACTGGCTCTGTGAAGCAAGTATGTGGAGTTGCTGTCGGGAAGTAGTGTTCACACATTCCTGAAAAGGAAAACAAAGGAAGAGAAGAGAATGAAGTAATACTCTACTGCCTTAAACATGTACTTAGAGATACACATCTGCAACTACAATTTTGAATTTTAATATTGTTTCTCAACTATGTCTTCTCTCTCTTTTTTTTTTATTGTTTCTGTCTCCCTGGTATCAATCCCAATATGTCCATCCTCCTGCACCCAAACCTGCATCTCCCCCCTTGACTCCCTGTCACCCACCGTGCTGTACAAGGACCACCCTGGATCCCCCCCAATCTTACCTCAGTTGTTGGGCAGGTTCCCCACCAAGATGTCGTAAATGTGCCCCCTTCTGAGCTGCACTGCTACTGCCTGGATTCAGAGTCTAACTGTACCTTCTCCACTACCATTTTAACTGCTTCTTAACTGGTCTCTGCAGGTCCAGTCTGGTCCTCTCCTGTGTCTCATGAATCCACACTCTGACAGAATAGTCTTTCTAAATAAAAATCTCTTCATGAAACTGAAGCTTTAAGTCTGCATAGCTTCTATGAAATTCCTTAGTCTAGAGAAACCCCTCCATAAGGCAATACTTGAAGTCAGCACATTTTGGCCGTGGAATACACAGGGTGGTACTGCTGTGAGATCAGCGAGCCGACGGGGGCTCCCGGCCCTCTGCCTGGTCAGCACTGCCAAGCATTCCTCTGCGGGACTCAGACACACCCTTCATCACGGCTCTTGGTACCATCCCGTGGAGGTCACCTGCTCTGGGCTTGATCTCACTGGGGTGATGCTGGGCCCTTTGGTTGGCTGGGTCTTCCTGGACAAGCGCTGGTGATTCCAGGAATCTCCTGGTTAATTGATGTTCATTTTTGAACACCAGCCTGATCTTTCTTTCAACGTTGGGGAATATTGGGACGCAGGGAGCCTCCTGCCACCTTCTTGGTCACATGGCTCCTCCTTCCCTCCACCTCCTGTTTCCTCTACGGAAGCTAAACGATTTGAAAGCACGAGATGCGCAGAGGACGGGAGCTGACCGCCACGCACTTTACATCGGAAACCAAGGAATCGCGGGCGCTTCTCTCTCGATTTCAGTGTGTCGGGTACCCTTCCTGATTTGGCCCAACTTACATGTCGAGGCTCCTTCCCTGCCCCTGTGTCTCCCCAAGCCCCTCCCTGAGAGGCATCCCCCCGAAACCTCCAGGCCGTTCGCAGAGGAGCTTCCTTGCTCCCTGTGCTCTTCAGTTACCGGGAAGAGCTCTCTTTCCGACTGAAGAGCTACAGCGTTATTTGATGACCACACCCCCCCCGAGTCCTCTCAGTCATTTAACAAATACCTTTCGGACACTGTGGTTGATGCTGTGGACACAAAAACGAGTCAAGGCGAGTTAGGCTGTCCTCAGGCTGGTCATCTCGTGCGGAAGACAGAAGATTCTCCAGAAAGTCCCTCTGGAGTTAAGCGTCTGATGGGGATTTTCATGGGGGGTATTTGGGTGTGGCTGCCACCATCTGTTTTCTCATAACATCTAGAAAGTACCTCTGAGCGTGTGTCTCATCAGACTGTGAGCCACCTCAGGTCACAGGTCACATCCTCAGCTGGGACCCAGCCAGCGCCCGGCACGTGGGAGGGGCTGAGACTCCTCTGCTCGCTGAGTTAACGAGTCTTCATTATGACAGGACGCAGCCCGACTTGGGGAAGCACTCCTGGAAGAAACATGTTAAGAGGGGCAAAGAGGTCTTCAACGTTACGGAAACCTTTGCAGAATAGGGCCAGAGTCAGTGTGTGTGCTTCGTAGGCTGCTGAGAAATCCTGTCTGAGTGCCTGCGGAGCTGTGATTTGCTAACAGTACCTGTAAAGGACACAGGAAAGGCTGCCAGTGCGACGTGTCAGCCTCACTGGACATTACAAGGGAAAGAGGGACTGACCTTGGCTGTGGTCTCCTGGCGGCTGCTGCTGTGACCCAGTTACCGAGGCCTGTTTGTGGGTGCTTGCCAGATTTTCAGGCCAGCAACACAATTGTTATCTCTCTTGGGCCTGTCAGATCATGAAACAGGTACTTTGAGAAACACGTAAACCTCCTCCCTTCTGGACGGTGCTGGAAAATTCCCGAAAAATGCTTCCTTTGGGGGGGCCTTGTTTTTCCCTTATCTGGCAGGATCCTTAACATTCAACCGGATAGGGAAATACTTTTCAGATACAATCGTACTTTCTTAAAATAATAAGACGGGGAAGATTTTGACGGGAAAAATAAATAGCATTTCAAAATCTCTCCACTGTTAATCTATCGCTGAAAGGACTTCACATCCCCTATGTATCTTTTATTGGGAGGAGAGGGAGAAGAAACGAAAAGCGTTTTCATATTGAGAGTTCTGTCTTTTTGTCCTTGGTTAAATCCATCTTCTATCCCTGGGGATAGTATCTGTATGGGAGGGAAGGTTCCTCGGGTCTTGGCGCACAGAGGCTGCCCGCATCTGTGTTAGAGGAGAGAAAAGGCAGAGAGCTGAGAAGGAGAGAGGAAGCTTGCAGGAGGGGCTGCAGGCTCCAGGGCAAATTGGCTCTGCAAAACCGGAGCAGGTAGGGGTGTGGGCCGGGGAGGATGCCCGATTCATGTTTGCTGGTTCCGGGTGTAAATGAGCTCACCGCGGCTGACTTGAGGTTACCACATGTTTAACAGCTCGCCTGCAGGAGCCAGGTCCAGCTCATCGCTGCACAGGACGCTGCAGCGGGCCTGCCGATTTCCCTGACCCTCCTCCTGGGATCAGAGGCACTTCCCTTATGGGAGCACGGATGAGATCTGCTGTTTAGGAGAGGCTGGGACTAGAGCTAGTGTCCAAGCAGTTGTCACTGGGAGAAGCGCTCACCTGGACTCCAGGTGGCAGGAGACGCCCAGAAGGAAGGTCCTCTGGGAATGGCCTGGGAGGTCTGGGGGGCAGGGGAGGGGGGTGCCTCAAGGAGGGAACGGGGGAGAGCACAGTGGCAGGGAAGGAGCCTCGAAATGCAAGAAGAAGCCCCCTCTCTCCTTTCTTCCTTCCTCGTGGACGCGTAGAACAAGGCAGGGCTCAGACGGCTGGACGCTAACTCGCGGGCAGGCTGTTAGTTGGTGTGTGTGGGCAAACAGGGATGGCAGAAGCTGCACCCCGTCCTTCCTGTTCCGGGGATCCCCGAGGCCCTTCTCTTCCTCAGTCAGAGACCTTCGTCTGTCCTCTATCAGACCATCCTCTGACTCACAGTAATGCGTATGACACGAATATAAATACAGCAATTGGCTATGAGAATACTTGAAATTAAAAAACATTTAAAATGAGTTTAGGGCAAATCGTTCTTTTTAAAATCTCTGCTTGTCTCGGGTGTTTCCTAGCTGTTTTACTCCTGTGTCCATAGGGCAGGGAAAACTCCAGAATTGGGGCAGAGTCTTGGTGTATTTATACAAAGCAAAAGAAGTCTGTGGATTTTCTTGAACCAGAACTCAGTGCCTAAGCGCTCTGGGGCACGGGCATGAGGAGTGGGGTGAGGGTAATACGTGCGTGTGTAGGCTCACCTAAAGTTCAAGTTTTCCTTCCCAGATTAAAGCTGGAGGAGAGCTGTGCCTTGGAGTCTTTCCTCTGCAGTTCAAGAATGACTGGTGTGTTTGAGAAGGCCAAGGCCGACTTTCCTGGAATGTTCACTAGGGAGCGTCACCCAAGGTTGAGCACAGCGCTCAGTGGAGGCCAGCGAGGGAGGCAGCGCTCAGCACCTGGTGCTCGGCTTCCCTCCCTCCATCAGGTGCCGCGAAACCAGCAGCATTTCGCTCTGCGGCAGGTTCTCTTCTCCAGAAAGAGGTACCCTTGCTATCCACACACCTTCCCCTCTGCCGACCTTGCCTTAATTGAAATCAGGGATCCAATGAGTGCAGCAATTGAAATGGCCAAAAAAGTGTGTGCTCAGTGCTTTTGAACGTTCGTGCTGAGCATCCCGCAGCTGCTGGGAGCAGCCGAGGCGTCAGAGGTGTGACGGGTGTGGCTGAAAAGGTTGTGTCTGTCTTGCAGCATCTGGGGCACCCCTGAGTGGTCCTGCCCTCCCCACATACCCTGGGAAAGCTCCCTTCCCAGGCTGTGCCCGCCGTTTTGGGGCGTCCTTGGAGCGCCTCAGTGGTCCGTAGGAGCTTATGACAAATGCAGGGTCTGGGCCTCACCCTCAATCTAATACACTTTGATGAGACGCCAGGTGAATCACAGGCACATCAAAGTCTGGGAAGCGCTGTCAGGAAGGAAGCAGCATTGTCTTCCCCTTGGTTGAAGCCCTGAGCCTCTCCGGGCGTTAGCTGCTTGGAAAAACTGTTTCCCCTGCCCCTCACATTGAGGCCGGCTTCAGACTGTCCTTGGAATTTGTGAAATGTCCACACCTATACTTTATGGGCTGTTCCTCAAATTTGCGAAGTGTTCTCAGCAGGGAACAGCTACGGCTTCATATTGTCTGAAAGGCAGTGGCTGCCTTTACAGTGCTGGGGGGACGGGTCCCCCACTGGGAGGCATGGGAGGGGGGCTGGGCTGGAACCGGCCCCTGCTCTAGCAGGATGGGGAAGAATGGATGAGTAATGCTGTTTCATTTCCTTTCATAATCTGACATTTCTCCCCAGTTCCTTCCCTATGCTGCTCACCAGCCCCCCCAAAACACACACACTCCCAGCAGTTCTGATTTGCCCCATCTTCTTCACAGCTCGGCTTCTCCTTTCTGTAGAGACACGGAGCCAAGTAAGTAAGCAGAGCATGAGCTGCTTAATCTTATTTACATGTGATGTATTTATTGTCTTTCATGTCCTGTAGGACTTTTAAAATATATAACACTTTATGCCACTTTTAAATGAATCATTGGGAATTCATGTCATGCTGGGTCCTGTAATCACAGGTTTTCTAGCTCAACTTTTTGTCCAAGACCTTATGGAGATGGAGAAAGGGAAAGGCGGGAACTAGAACCACGTGATTAGAACATAAGCAATGATCTTAAAGCATTGTTAATGTGTGATAACTGACATACATTCAAAACACTGAAACCCTGAAGTTTGTAACCCCTTCATATTCTGGAATGATGCTGGAATCAGAAGACAGGAGTGATACCTAAAAGGATAATATGCAAAGCGATATTTTAGCCTTGTGCATGATTTTATGTTTTCAATGTACTACATACGTATAGAACTGTTCAAGTTGTTATTTCCAATATTTATATTAGAAAAATTATATAGACACTTGATAATTTTCACCAGCTTTTAAAATAACACTTGTACTTACTGTATTGTAATAAATTTCACTTTTAACAGAAAAAAAGAAAGAAAGAAAGATATCATCCTGTCAACATGCTTCTGGTGGCTGGGGCCTCTGGCCGCCGGCCTGGGGTGAGGCTGACACAGGAGGCATGGGAGGAGTGTGGGCCCTGATGACCCTGAACCACTGAGACCCGCTGGAAGCCTGCCCCCCTCGGAGGCCCCGGCCGAGCCCCTCTGACTCCGTATCTGTTCTGCCACTCGGCTTACAAGCCAGCCCCACAGCCCAAGCCCGGCGGTGGGCAAGGGCTCGGACCCCAGGGACGCTGGCCTCTGTAAGTGGGCTCGGGTCCGCTGATGAGCGGCGGGCCCTGGAGGACAGGAGTCCTCCGTCCTGGCTGAATCGGCCCCGCTACAAAGAGCCCCAGGCCCTCCGCACCTACAGCAGAAGCGCGCCTCTGCACCTGTGTCCGCTTCATGCAAGTGTAAGAACCCAGGGGTCCGGGTCCTCTTCGCCCCTCTGCACGCGCCCCTGGTGTCCCTTCTCACTGGACACAGAGCCACCGGCAGCCGCGCTTTCCCTTTCAGAACCTCGCCTGCCTCTGCCGCCGTCCCTGTCCCCGCCCCCGTCCCAGCGGTCGGGGTCCCGGCGGAACCGTGCGTCCCGGCGGTGCGGGGCTGGACGGGGCTGGGCGGGGCGCGGGGCGGGCTGGGCGGGGCGGGGCGGGGCGCGGGGCGGGGTGGGCGGGGCACGGCCGCCCGCGGCGCCAGTTCCCGTCCGCGCCCCGCCCCGCCCGCGGAGCCGGGAAGTCCTGGGCGGTGGGCGGCACTGGGCGCTGCAGCGGCGGGGTCTGCGCCTCGGGCGGTCGGGGTCCCGCGGAGCAGAGGAGGCAGGTGGGCCCGCGCGCGCGTGGGGGCCCCTCCCGCAGAGCGGGCGGGGCGGCCTGTTTACCGGAGCGCTGGCTGTGCGGCTCGGGCCGGGGCGCGCGTCCGGGGCGCAGGGTCTGGGAGAGTCGCGCAGGGTGGGGACTCAGACGCCGCCTGAGGCCGTGATGCTTGCGTGGAGAGGGAAGGGTGAACGCCCTTAACCGGAGTCGGGCAAACAGTGCTTTCGGAGGCTCACACGTGGCTTGGAGGGGCTGCAGGGGTTCCAGAGGCCGGGGCAGGAGGCTGGGTCGTTTAGGGCAAGTGCTCTTTGCGCTGATCCCAGGGGCCGTGGGCGGGTTAAGAGCTGCGTGGAGGGCCAGGACGACGCCTTCCTCTGCGCAGAGTGTATGTGGGGAGAGGTGGGGGACCCGTTCTGTCCTGAGGCTCTCAACCGGCGGCGCGGAGGCAGCAGGCAAGGCTTGGTGGTGACGCGTGTGATGGATGAAGGGGGCCTGAGGCCACTGGTTGGGTGAGAGAGGGTCTCATTTCCAAGGTGGGCCGGAGAAATGTGGGCTGGGGGACGATGGCCGTGCCTCGTTCAGTTTCAGATGTGCCCCCAGTTTCAGACGACCTGCCCACCAGCGCGAACACCGCCGACCTCCCCGCTTCACAGACACAGCCTCCCCGTTCTCGCTGGCTGTACCCCGTCACCCCGACTGTCCTTTCCTGGACCCCCCCCTTCCTCCTCGCCTTTCCACTCCGATGTCTCCCAGGCACTCGTTTCCCCTGTCATGCTCAGCCTACTCTGGAGGCTTTGGGTGGGAGGAATGAGGGAAGCTTCCAAATCCGTGTTTCTGAGTCAAAAACAAAAAAAACAGAACAAAACAATGCACACTGTCTCGGCCCCATTTCCAGTGACCAAGAGTCACCGGAGGTCTGGAGAACAGGAAGGGCAGGCGCTCTGAGCTGGGTTATGGGTTATTGGATAATGCTTGGCCAGAGGGAGCCGAGGGCCGTCCCCAGACTGAGCAGCCACTGTAGGTGAAAGTTGTTTGCTTCACAGCCCATTTTATACCCGTTTCCAGGCTGTCTGGATACAATTCGGCATCTCATACATTTTTCAAGTATCAGCTGGCACATGGGGAGACCATGGCCTGAGTCACAACTGAAAATCTCACGAGGAGTCTTCACGTCTGCAAGAAGAGACGTGGTGGGCTTCCATGGTGGCGCAGTGGTTGAGAGCCCGCCTGCCGATGCGGGGGACGCGGGTTCGTACCCCGGTCCGGGAAGATCCCACATGCCGCGGAGCGGCTGGGCCCGTGAACCATGGCCGCTGAGCCTGCGCGTCCGGAGCCTGTGCTCCGCAACGGGAGAGGCCACAACAGCGAGAGGCCCGCGTACCGCAAAAGAATAGACGTGGTGTGTGGGGACCAGGCAGAGTACCTACCAGTTTTTCATCTGGGGTTTCCTCCCCTTCCTCCTCCCTGACCCTGTCCTCCTCTTCAGATGGGAAAGGATTGGACTTCACTGCTCCCAGGAGCCGTGTGTGCGCGTGCGTGCGTGCGTGCGTGTGTGTGTGTGTGCGCGCGCGTGCGCTAGTGCACCTGTGAGTGATTTCTGTTGATTTTCCCAAGGCTCTCGAGCTGGCTTGACCTGCTGCCAGCACCACACTTTGCTAATTACCTTAATATTGGACTTATTTTTTGGATGGAGAGCAACAATAAGTGGATCTTCCTCCATAAAATATTTTTGAGCTTTAAAATGAAAAAAAAGTACAATTCTAAAATTGCCATGTGTTAGGTCAACAGCATTCAGGGTTTATTGAGGTGGCCTCCTTCCTCTTCGCTCTCTGGCTCCAGACCCAGCATCTTTTCTGGAGGCTTCCAGAAGTTCATCAATGCACTCACGCTGTCCATGGCTGGTGATTTCCCCTTCGAGCCATTCGTTGTGGCTGCCTGTGCCGAGTCGTGGAATGTTTGCCCTGGACGTAGCTTTGGGGCATTTGACCACATGAGATGACGTAGTCTCTCCAGCCCATCCCTCATTTCCTGTTTGTCTTGTTCTCCCACCTGGAGCAGAGTTTTCCTTGAGTGACCGGGAAGTGGTTCACATCACTGACTTTGCAGATGTCCCGATGTCACCACCCGCGTGTGTGATTTCTCTGTATACCAATCCAAACTCAGAAAATTTGAAAAAAGAATGTTTGGTTCTAGACTAATCATCAAGGATGTTCCAATAAGCCCTATCATGGTTGATTCATCATGCTTTGTATTCTCTACTTTTCCCTGAAGGTAAAATTCCAGAGTTATTGTCGGGTAACTCAGTTGATGCACAGACCAGGCTGGTCCTCCACGTGTTCAGCGTCCTGGGAGCTCTCAGAAGCCGTCACTTAGGAATTTTCATGGAGCGTGATCGATTATTAATTTGTAGCCCCCCTCCCCACCCTGGAGCCTGGGGGATGGGACTGAAAGTTCAAACATCTCATCATGGTTGGACCTTTCTGGAGAGCAGCCCCACCCTACAGCCATCCGGGAGCCACCAGGATTGGCCTCCTTAGAACAAGTGATGCTCCTGTCACCCAGGAAGTGCCAAGGGATTTAGGAGCTCTGTGTCGGGATCTGGGGGATGGGCAGAGACCAATACATATTTCTTATTATATCACAGCATTTATTGTATATATGGCCAAATTGGTGAACTCTTAGTCATTTAAGAGTTTTCAATACATTCTCTTGGGTTTTCTGCTCTGTGGTTATGCAAGAGGCAAATGACCTTAAGAGGGAGCACATCCTTCTCATACACTCCTGGTTCCTGTTTTTAGAATTTGTTTTTTGTTTTGTTTTGTCTTGGTCTTTTTTGCACTATCCAGGAATTCTGAGACAGAGTGTGCAATCACCATAAGAATCCTTGTGCTGCCCTTTGTTATAATTTAGAGCTTGGTAATTCCCAGTGCCCATCAGACTATGAAGAAGTGTGGTATAAATTCGGCTTTTTGGAGGGAAGTTAACAAGACTTTTTGGAAGTCTTTCAATTTCAGATGAATGTTCCCTTGGGGCCAGCACTCTCACTTTTAGATTATCTGTTGTACAGAAGCATTTGCACACATGCTCAGATATGTTCCAGGTTCTTTTCTTCAGCATTATTTAAAAAATTCAGATCTACAGGGGTTTTAAGTTATTATTTTTAATTGTGGTAAAAACACACATAATATAAAATTTATTATCTTAATCATTTCTAAGTATACAGTTAACATTATTTTTTAATAGCAAAAAAGGAAAGAAAAAGAAAGGAAGAAAGAAGGGGAGGGGGAAGGAGGAAGGGTAGGAGAGGAAAGGAATACAATGAAATGGAATTAATCCAATTTTAATTTTTTTCTCCATAGGAGAAGAATGTAATTCATTTATATGATGGAATATGATGCAGGAAATTTAAAAAAAATGTGATTGGTCTATATGTCACTGAGACAAGCTTGCTCAGCTCGCCGCACAACAGCAAGATGAGGTGCTGAAGCAAGGAATAAGACCTTATTCGGAAAGCTGGCAGACTGAGAAGACAGCAGATGAGTGTCTCCGTCTTATGCGGGCTGGATGCCAGTTCCTTTTATAGCACAGAGAGGGGGAGGAGATGAGGAAGTAAAGTAAAAAGGCCATACGTTTTGCAAATATCTCCTGGAATGGCCAGCCTCGGGGAGGGGATGTGTTAATTTCTTCTTTCTTGCAGCCATTCACAAGTGGACAGGGGCCGGATGTTTCGCTGAACAAAGGCACTTCGGTTTAACATTCAGGCAGAGGGGCAGGATTCCCAGAGGCAGGGGAAGAGTAGCTCCCCGCTCGCCACAGGTGCCGTCCGCAGTTTCACTGTACTGGGCGTACGTACTTAAACATGCATGGCTTAATCTTTGAGACAAGCCTATGCTACAGGCAGGATCGACCAAGTAGAGAGAAAAAGATAAATGTTTCAATTCTGCTTATGAAGGTATAATTTACCAAATTCCTCTAAGTTATAATTAGTTTAAGGGGAAGGTTCTCCTTACACTTGGAAAACAGATTGAAACCAGTCATTTTTCAGATAGAAACTATAAAAATTATAACCATATTCACCAGTTTACTCAGTCCTATGTAACTAATCCTTTTTTAAAAACAGCTTTAAGAAGCCATCAATTTTCCCATTAGAATTCTTCAATTTCTTACCCAGTTCAGCATTATTGTCTGAAAGCCAGAAACTTATATTTACCCAAAGGTCCCTTCTATAAAACGTCTTGAAGAGGAAACATTTTTGCAAAGGCGTCAGAGTGAAACCATAACTGTCTATAATGACGAAAGACTTAAGAAGCACGTTTAAATCTGGTTACAATGCAACTGACAAAGTAACTTGGTTACTGCTGTGACATGCAACACTTTTCAGACAATAGCTAGAATTATGACTGATAACATTTTACCAGGACATATCAAATTTTAGGAAGTCCATATAATCCCTAGAATACCTCTACCATCTGCCATACAATATAACCTAAGAAGATTTATGACTTATTTGACAACACTTCCCATGTAATTCAACATACCAAGTGAACCTAATTAGTTCATATCTCTCTTTGGGGTGTTTCAGGGGTCCTTTGAACCACTTTGGTTTAATATTCAGGCAGAGGAGCAGGGTTCCCCGAGGCAGGCCATTACGTATAGACAGTATCCTTTTGGTGAACAAAAGCAACGGGAAGCAAAGGTTAAAGTAAAAGAAACAGATCCAACATGGAGTCCGAGTCGGCTCTTCCCTGTATGTGTGTGCAGTTCCCGAAAAAGATCACGAAAACAAATTAAGTGAAAAATGTATTTTGCGGGCTTCCCTGGTGGCGCAGTGGTTGAGAGTCCGCCTGCCGATGCAGGGGACGCGGGTTCGTGCCCCGGTCTGGGAAGATCCCACATGCCGCGGAGCGGCTGGGCCCGTGAGCCATGGCCGCTGAGCCTGCGCGTCCGGAGCCTGTGCTCCGCAACGGGAGAGGCCACAACACTGAGAGGCCCACATACGGCAAAAAAAAAAAAAAAATGTATTTTGCAGTACAATGTATATAGTATGATGTCATTTTTGTGAACAAAACCCTGTATGTGTACATGTGAATTTATATATGTGAATCCATAAGAAACAGTTTAAGGGGCTACATCTTTCCTGCACAGTGGTTATCTCTGGGACAGATTGGAGTAGGGGGTATAGGAGGAAAACTTACATTGTTTTACTCTCTATATGTCCATTTATTTAAATTTTTAACTAAGAAAATATAATTCTGGGGACTTCCCTGGTGGCGCAGTGGTTGAGAATCTGCCTGCCAATGCAGAGGACGAGCCCTGGTCTGGGAAGATCCCACATGCTGCAGAGCAACTAAGCCCGTACGCCACAACTACTGAGCCTGCGCTATAGAGCCCACGAGCCACAAAGACTGAGCCCACGTGCCACAACTAGTGAAGCCCTTGCACCTAGAGCCCACGCTCCACAACAAGAGAAGCTACCTCAATGAGAAGCCCACGCACCGCAATGAAGAGTAGCTCCCACTCACCACAACTAGAGAGCCCGTGTGCAGCAACGAAGACCCAATGCAGCCAAAATAAATAAATTTTAAAAATTAAATTAAAATTTAAAAAACGAAAATATAATTCTGTAATCTGCACATAATTTAAACAAGATCTCCAGAATACAAGCATTTGTGTAATACTGAGTGACAAGGTACTGAAATTGAAATGAAATCTACATAAATGGTTTTAAAAATATCCTTTTATCCTTGGTTTTTATAAGAGAATTTTTAACAAGAATGCCAGTCAAACATTGACCTTTCTCTTTTCATGAGTAAGGTTTATTTCCATTTTTTCCTTATTTTTCAGAGCCGTTTCTCATTCCCTGGTCTGTGAACTGACTTCATATCCTTCACCCATATATTCCCTAGGGTTACGTGCATGAGTAGGGGCATTTTATATGTGAACGAAATTCACCTTTTGTCTAGGAAATGAGTTTTCAGTATGTCCCTAGTTTGTCTTTTATTTTACATGGTGTTTTCACCATGTTAAAAATTTTTAAAGTTCATACGTGGTTAAATGTATCAGTCTCATAGTTTCCAGGTTTTGTGAATGCTTAGAAAGTCTCCTTTCCTCCAATATTTTAATGATTTGTTTTCAAGTTAAAACTTTGATCCATCTGGGAATTAATGTGGATAAAGTGTGAGGTCGGTACCCACCTTTCCCTGCAGACTGCAGCCTGGCCACAAGAGGCGTCCATAGAGCACCTGTGTACACGGTCTCTTTGCACTGCCCGCTCGAGCTGCACAAATGGTCGCCACCGCCCTCCTTGTTCCTAGATTCAAGAGGCTCCTGATAACTGGGCAACATTTGCTACTGTTGGGGACTTCCTCCTCCCAGGGCTCCCGATCGTCCTTGCACCTTCCTACCACTTCCTGCTTGGTCTCACGTCAGGCGCCATCCTCTGTCCAGCCTTCCAGTGCTCCTGCTGCTCACAGGGCTGGCCTGGCCCTCTCCCAGCCGCCCCATCCCGAGCTGACGTGCTTCACGTCTCTGGTCCACCTGCCCGCCCAGAGCTGACGTGTTGAGCTCAGGTCTCTCTCCTGAGCTCCCACATCTCCAGGTGCCCACTTCCTCCTCCATTTGGACACCCTGACAAGCGCTTCTGTGTCAGTTCATGCAAAGGGGACATCATCGCCTAGGTTCCCAACCCTCTTTTGTTTTCAGCTCTGGGACCGTAAGATCCACGAGAGCAGCAGTGGGGTTCACGCCATCAAGTCTGCATCCCGGGCACTGGTGCCTGGTGTTCCTCGTCAGATACCAACTGGAGTGACCTGAAGGCTACCAGGCCAGAGGCAGGGCACCTTCTCCCCTCTGTCACCCCAGCTGCAGATGTTGAGGCTGCAGACAGGCTGCCGTCCTTGCTCGGCGGGCGGACTCCTGCAGCGGCCTCCCCTCTCGTCCTCCTTTTCTTCAACCCATTCTCCTGATTGGCAGGGAGGTCTTGCCCACAGTAAATCTGGGTAATTCCAGCTGCTATAGCCTAACCCCGCAGTCTCTATAACTAACCACAGTAGAAACTATCTCTCGCCCACTGTAAAGTCATGGAAGTTATTCAGGTGGTGGTTCGGAGACCAAGATTCTGGCACGGTCAGCACCCACCTTCCAAGGACGCTGCAGAATAAGGAGCGTGCAGGGTGGTGCGTGGAAACGGCATCACATCCACTGCTCCTGCCAGTGAGACTGAACCTCACGTCCACACCTGACTGCAGGGGGGAGCCTAGAACATGTGGTCCTGCTGTGCGCCCAGGTAGAACACCTGAGACTTGAGATGAGCTTGGGTGGTTTCCCTTTGCCTTTAGGATAAAGATTAACAAGGTGTGTCATGAACTGAGTTGTCCTCCCCCCAAAGTTATATGTCAAAGTCCTCACCCCCAGGAGCTCAGATGAGACTGTATTGGGACATAGGGTCTCTAAGGAGGTAATTAAGGTTAAATGAGGTCATGGGGTGGGGCCCTAATCCGATAGGACTGGTGCCCTTATAAGAAGAGGAAGAGATACCGTGGCACACATGCACAGAGGAAAGGCCACATGAGGACACAGTGAGAAGGCGGCTGTCTGCAAGCCAAGGAGAGAGGCCTCAGGAGGAACCAACCCTGCTGAGACCTGGATCTCAGACTTCCGGACCTGAACTGTGAGAAGTAAATTTCTGTTGTTTATGCCCCAGCCTGTGGTCCTTGGTTATGGCAGCCCCACAAAGCAATACAAGGCACTTCCTAATTTAGCCACTATCCTCCTCATCCTTCGCCATTCCTCTGAGGACAGCTCTGACTCCATCCCAACTGAACTAGTCATAGTTTCCTGACTATCCCATGCTCTGTCTTTCCTCTGGGGCTCTGCACTTTCCACTTTCTACCCTTTCCCTTTCCACCCCCCTCTCCCTCCACCAGGCTCCCCAGCTCCGCCCCTGGCATCACTGGCTGACCCTCACTAAGCCCTGAGGGTTAAATGCTCCCCCTGTGTGTTTAATTCTTTGAAGCTGAAGCATTTGCTACACTGGATTCCAATGAACTATTGTATCTCCAGAGCCCACCACCAGCACCAGCTGTATAATTTATGAGGCCTGGTGCAAAATGCAATTGAGAGGTCCCTGGTTTGAATTTCAGGACAGGACAGCCGAACCCGGATCAAGGGTGGGTCCTTCTGAGTGCGGGGTCTTTTGCAAATACACAAGGTCATCTGCTTGCGAAGCTGGCCCTGCCTGGAGAGCTCTCATCTCACAAGCCAAGTACACGCTCTGGGTTTTGTAACACTTGAGCATTCCAACTTTCTAATTTTTGGCTAAAAAGGGAAAGAGAAACCACATTTTTTTCCTGATTCGTGTCACAACAGGATGTTAGAGTGGAAATCTTTCTGTTTCAGTTTTGCTTGAAACACCAACATACAAGTTGTTAAAGGCAAAAACAAAGGGTCATATAAATATTCACCTATATTTTTCTTTAGAGTTTTTATAATTTTATTTTTTGTTATTAATCCATTTTGGAATTTATTTCAAACTAACATGAGAAACCAAATTTTTAAGGTAATAGGTTTTTTGTGTTTATTAAAAATAGTAAGAGGTTTTCTGTGTTTATTAAAAATAGTGAAGATATTAGTTACTTCAGTTTTATTGAACAAAGACATGGTAGGACTTCCCCCAAATACCCTGTGTATGTAGCTCTGTCTTGAGGAACAAGTCGACTTGCGTGACTGGAGCAGGGAGCCCACAAAGTGCTCCAAACGTCCTTTTATTCATTAACCACAAATGATTCACACAAATATGTGAACATAACACTTTTATGATAGCTTATGCCCAAGGCACTTCTGTACATATTCAGATCGGATGTTCTAATCGTCGATTTATTCATGGTTGATTACTCATGAAGAGAGCAAGTTTCAGTCCACCAAATATTAATCCTGCTGCTTGGTCTCTTCCTACTTTTGTCACGTGATCTTTCCCCAAATGTAGGACTCTCCCAGACAGAGTCAACCCATCTCTGCTAAGACAGGAAGAGACCCAGTGGAGCTGAGTAAAAAGCTTTCCTTGGTGAACCATCACTGTTCTTGGAAGCTAAAGGGCAGCACAACAAACTGTGTTTTTCTTTCTTTGAAAGGTACTGTCTGTTGATAGAGGTGAAGGTTTCCAGTCATTTCTTACTGACGTTAGGAAACCGGGAACTGAGAACTTGCTTAGAATGGCTCACAGGTTTTTGGAGAGAAGACGTATGACTGATTTCCTCTCAGTAAGTCTTGCCTAAAGAGATCACGACTAATAAGAAAAAACAGCTGTGAACTTAGCAATGCTATGAGTAGGCAGGAGTAAAGACCCTTGAGAACCTCCAGGTTGGTTCTCCAACCAATTCTCCAACACCAAGTGTCCAAATCTTCAACTCAACTTTGTACTAACTACCCAGCGTTAGCTCAGCTCTCACAAGTTAAAGGGCTCAGCCCCACGAGACTGCCCCCGGAGGGGTGACTCCAGCTGCTAACGGGGTGCCCAGGATGCCTGTATTTCTACCCCGCTTCCTACAAACTCAGCGTTCCCACAGCCCACCCTACATTTGATAATTGGCGAGAATGACAAACGCAGGAAGGCACCCTACGTACAATCACTGGTTTGTTACAAAGAATATAACTGCATAGCCAAGGTATGGGGGAGGGGCACACAGCTTCCTAACCTCTTGGGGCACCACCCTCCCAGAACCTCCATGTGTTCACCAACCTGGAGTCCCCCGGACCCCACCGTTGAGGGTTTTATGTGAGCATAATGGATTCATCATCGGCC